GATCACCAAATAAAGCAAAGCAGGCACACACATGTCATACTTTCATTGCTACCAGCTACCCCACACTCTGTGTTGGTATTTACAATCCTTCCTTTTGGGAGCTGGGGTAGGACAGGTAAGTTGCAGCATTGTGGGGTCTAGAGGACTTTAATCCCCAGGGCAACAAACAAAACTCTGGCAAGCCAGTCCCGGCCAAAGAGGTACCCCCACCCCCCTAAGCTTGACCGCCCCTCACCTGCTCCCCTTCTCTCCTCTCTCCCCAGAAGAAGGCACTTCATGGAAACGTCTGGGAAAGCCCTTGGACTTTATTTTGTTACACCCTCTAAATAGACAAAAAACAAAAGAGAACAGGTGTAGAAGACAGTACTTTCAATCGCCACCAAGAGTTCCACACCCATGTCCTCCCTCCCACTTAACACACACACACACACCCATTATGGGGCCCCAGTTGGGACATTTTCAAAAGAGAAAGCTTACACACAAAGGTGACTGGTTTATCAAGGTTTGTGCTTCTAGGTAATTAATATAAAATGGGAACTTTGCTCTTAAAAGCGGTCTTCACTTGTTAGAAACCTTTATCACTCCTGGTGTTAATGGTAGAAGATATCCCAAGTCCAATCACTACTGGATTTTCCCATTCACGTATCTAACCTTCCACCTTGACACGAAGCTTTGGCCAAGAGGATCGTTTGAAACACCTCTGACATAAACAGAACTCAGCCAGAACGTACTGGGGGGTTATGTGAACCTGCCATCCGCCACCCACGTATGTGAATGTGGTGTTGTTAGATCAATCTGGGTTTCTGTCCTTTCTTCATTCATTCCTCTCATCTCAGGACACTTTCCTGACTCACAGCCCAGATTGGAGAACATGTGGGAGAGGCAACTCCGAGCAGGTGGGGCAGTCATCAAGTTACTACCACATACGATGTCCCGTATTTAGTTTCCCATTAGAACTTAAGTATCTGCAGCATCTGAGTCTTGCTTCTGGCATTTGAAAGATACACTTTTGCCACACAAGAAGGTGTTGACTTGATTACATTTAATTCCCTAACTACCTGGGCTGCAGGATTTCACAACAGAATGACGCCTATTCTTTCCAAACTCTTGATAGAAGAGCAAAGACAAACTTGCTTAATAGTGAGGTTCTCTTTCTTTGGAAGTTCTGCTGAATCCCATGTAGAACTCTAAATTCAGGTATGTAATTCCAAAGAACATTTGAGAGCTTCTGATTTACTTGGCAGTTTTTATTTCCAGACATGAACATCCTTGAATACATAAGTGTTAGGTTTCTCTTCTCCTTTGTTTTTTTTAATGTTTATTTATTTTTTTATTTTGAGAGAGAGAGAGAGCACGAGTAAGAGCAGGAGCAGGGGAAGGAGAGGAAGGGAGGGGAGAGGGAGGAGGGGGGAGAGAGAGAGAATCCCAAGCATGCTCCGCCCTAATCAGATGTGGGGCTTGATCCCACAGACCACACGAGATCACGACCTGAGCTGAAACCAGGAGTCGGATGCTCAACCGACTGAGCCACTCAGGCATCCCTCTCTTCTCCTTTAATACGAACTTTTATTTATTTTGATAATTATTGGCTTCTATGTTGGATACAAGGGCTTGCCACAGGAACCAAAATTTGGAGAAGTCCCAAGTTGGGTACAGGACTAAAAGGTGGGGGTGGGGGGGAGCAGTGTGCTGTAATTCAGAACTTATCTCCCTCTATTGAGAACATTCTGGAACTGCAACTGTCCTCAAAACATCACGAACATACTCCGTGCAGCAATGAACATTAACTGAAGAAATCACGAGTGTGTTGGAGTGTTTTTGCAAATCTTCATAGAAACTTGAAATTTGCAGCTTTCTAAAATATTTAGACTTCTTCTCAACCCTTAGCCCTACTCTGAATTCTGCCAGATTCACTCTTTCGGGAATTTTGGAGCAGAGCCGGCGATCTCCGCAGCTTTTCCTCACACACAATCACAGGCGCTTCTAACTACCACCCGTAAACTGACAACACTTCACTGAGAAGCAAATGCCATAAAACCAATAACTAATATCTCGAATAATCGAGGGGGCCACCTGAGCAAACCCAAAGAACAGACACAGTCAACCCTGGGAGAGAGGACACTTAATTTTGAGAAATCCAAAGACAGGCGTTGGTTACGTAGGAGAGACTCAACGCAGGAATCTCCCTTTCCTGAAAAGTCCATTTGCTTTAAAAATGGATGCATCCACTTCCTCCTTAACAGAACCAATCCCTTCTTTGAAGGATCATGGAGTACATTTAAATGGCAACCTTCAGCAGTGAATCCCTCCCTGCTTTTGTCTAATGACTAAGTGTTAGCCTGTTCCAAGAGCTTCGACTGGCATCTCAGGGCCAAACTCGACAGCAGGGGGCCGGTTACTATAACAACTGACAGTTCTTGTAAATTCTGAAAAGGCCCCGAGTAGCCATTTGGGAAACAGTTATTGAGCAAAAAGTTGCCTGGGATCGGCAGCATTAGCTGGCACGTGACCCAGATCTCCTGGCACACAGCTGCAGGGAGAAAGAAAAAAACAGTGCCCACCTCAAGGAACAGCTGGGGACCTCAGAAGGCTCCCCACCCCCATGCCTTTTAGCATCTCAGAGCAAGACAGTTTAGCGCCACCGTATCTTAAACTCAAGCCCTCCGAGGCGAGCCGTATTCTGGCATCATGCAACGCACGTTAGCTCTCCCCACTGGCTTGACACATCGTCAGGATCTGAAGGGTTGAATTGTAAAAATTATTCCTAATGATTAAAAAAAAATAGTCTTGAAATACGGCCACAGACGCAGGTCCCAGGAAGGGATGAGTGGCAGGGGCAATCGACAGTTTCAAAAGCAAAAGGGATGCCTGGAATACCAGCGGTCCCATGAGCAGCCTGTTTGCAGAAAAGACCAAGGTGATCCCACAAAGCCACCATAAAACCTGAGTTGCAAACCTGGATTTTTCTAGACTGGAGAAAAGAATATAAACCTGCTTTTCATTCCTATTCCCTTCCGCACACAAGCCACGTAAAAGCATCTTGGACTGACCCAGTGCCATTGTACATGCCAAATCCCCTGGAAAAGAATCTGATTCCACCCACAAAAGTAGACTTTATTTTGCATGGATGAAAGGCAATTTGACAGCATTTTCCCTCTGGCAGTACTGATCATGCCATGACCGAGTGCCTCTATGTCCGCTCGGACACAGAGCTCTGCCCCAAGCATTTGTGGCTTTTCTCTGTTCTGTGAAAATCACAGCTCAACATCCTTCCTCCAAGGAGCCTTTCCTGGCTCTGTCTCCTTCCCACCCCACCCTGGCAGTGGTCAGAGCCCGTTCCAGAGCACATACCCTAAGTCACTACTGCAACGTGGGGGAGCCCAAATGCAGGGGGCCCAGGCAGGAGGCTGCAGGGAGGGCAGAGACAGACTGGAGAGCTGGTGGCCCTCTCCCCCCAAAGACTCCCCACTCAGCTCTATCCAGCCCACTAATGCCACAAAAGAACATGACAACAATGTTACCACATTTAACATGAGAACCCAGATAGCTGGAGTTTTAAGAAATATCTTCCCATTTTCAAAACAATCCAGATTAAAAAAAATTAATGTTTATTTATTTTTGAGAGAGAGAGAGAGAGAGTCAGTCAGAACATGAGCAGGAGAGGGGCAGAGACAGAGGGAGACACAGAATCCTAAGCAGGCTCCAGGCTCTGAGCTGTCAGCACAGAGCCCGATGCAGGGCTTGAAATCACAAGCCGTGAGATCATGACTTGAGCCGAAGTTGGATGCCCAACCAATTGAGCCATCCAGGCACCCCAAAACAATCCGGACTTCTAAAAACAGTGTATCTGCGAAATAAAACAGGTGTAGGGGCCACCTGTTTTTGATCTCGATTTGGGATTACCTTTCTTTACCTGCTTATTTACCCCATTAGCCTATATGCTTTCTGAAGACTGGAACTCTGTCTCCTTGCTGGATGGCCAGTGCCTGGTACAAACTAGATGCTTAAGAAAGGTCTTTGAATGAACAAACAACAAAGGAAGGAATAAACAGGCCAGCCATAAAGGGTCTCCGGTGAACAAAAGCCAACCCTAGGTATGAGTCCCTCTAAAACATTCAAGCTCTGTGATGCCGGAAAAGTCATTCCCTTCCTGGAAGTGGTCTCCTCCCTTGGGAAGAAGGTGGATGCAGTCCTAACACCCTGGCTACCACCTGCTTCAGCTCTAGGGTTAAATAATATAGCATTTGCTTTGTAGCAACTCAACAGTTATCGGGTATGGGGATGAACCTTTGCTATCTGTGCACAGTCACATGCATGGGAGAAATCACTCTTAATGGTATCTGTCTCCTTTGTGACCTCCCTGGGATGGAGGGGGATGTATGCCTAAATCACATCAAGTTACTGGAGAGTAAACTGGGAAGTATTGGCTGCTAGAGCAGGTGGGTAGAGAGCATGTACCCAGGCTCATGGCAGCTCTGTCATTGTTTCTGTGGGACTACAGGAGGGATCCACGTTCTACTGGGGCACATGTGGTCAGTCATTCTTTGAGCAGGAGAGGGGCATTACCACACGCCCACACTCAGTGTTCACCTGTATCTGTTTGGTGGAGCCTCCATTATGCCAACACAACCGCCTCCCACGATTAGGGTTTGCATCTCCTCCCTCCTATTTTTATTTTCAATAGAGGGGGACAGAGGATCCAAAGTGGGCTCTGTGCTGACAGCAGTGAGCCTGATGTGGGGCTCGAACTCACGAACCATGAGATCATGACCTGAGCTCAAGTCGGGTGCCCAAGTGACTAAGACACCGAGTCACCCCACATCCCCTCTTATTTATTACACTGTCTTCCAAAGAACAAAGCAAAAAATCAGGTCAATAAAAAAAAATTCACTTGTTTTTGTGAATAGCATTTTATAAAAGTAAATGTTTATTCATTTTTGAGAGAGAGAGAGAGCGAGGGAGCGAGAGAGCAGGGGAGGGGCAGAGAGAGAGAACAGAGGATCTGAAGCAGACTCTGTGCTGACAGCAGCAAGCCCGATGTAGGACATGAACTCTCAAACCATGAGATCATAACCTAAGCTGAAGTTGGACGCTCAACCGAGCCACCGAGGTGCCCCTTGAATGGCATTCTTAATGAGGAGGGATCAACACATGGCAAAATTTCTTCAAGTGTAAAAGGTGGGCGTAAAAGAGATCTTTTAATCTGCCTGCGGCGCTAAATCAGTGTTGACTCATCTTCCGCAGAATTTATAGATGACTCAACCATGTGCTCAAGGGGGACATCAATTTCTCAGATCAGAGCATGAAATTCTAACACCAAAC